TAAATTTGAAAAAATTATAGTCAATCAAAAAGCTACGAAAGATGTAGTCAAAAAGTTATACGATAACAGTGATTCTACTCCTGGATCTGCAATAGTAATAGATCACGCAACTGTTAGCTTAAATCAATCAAAAGGTAAGCTCAAGGATGTTTTAAGAGAATCAAAAATTGATGAAATTATTGATTACAATGAAGGTCCTTACTCTTTTATCAGAGTGACCGACAAGATCAAGCTTGATCATGGAATATTGAATAGCACTCTAAATTTAAAGCAGATCATAGTTAAAGATTCAAATGGTGTGCTAGAAAATCTCAAAAAGCAAAAAGTTAATTGTTCAAATTTTAAAAAATTAACAAATGATCTAAAACTACCAAGCATAAAAGAATTTAAAATAAAAATGAGAGACTTAAACCCTGAACTACAGGTTTTATTTCATAAGACAAACATAAATGAAATAGTAGAAATCAAGGAAGGCAGCACTGCAAGACTCATCATGTTATGTAACATCGAAAGTGATAAAATTGATATAGAAGCAATTAAACAGGGAATATACCAACAAAAAATCATGAAACAAAGCTCTATGTTATTTGATGAAATACGTAAAAATGCAATTGTCAATTACCATAAAAATTTTAAATAAGGGAAGAAAAAAAACTAAAAATTCAGTTGTAGATTAAGCAAAAGAAAAGAAATTCTATTTCCTTACATCATTAATATAATCAATCAACAAGTTAGTACAGCTAGTTAATAAATTGTCATTAATTGTATTGTATTACATACGCTTTAGAAATTAAGAGGAAGAAAGAATGACAGCAAGCGATAGTACTGTGACGATTTGTAGCGTGGATAAATTTTTACAGTATGCAAGTGACGGAAATTTAGAAAAAGTAAAAGAATGTATAAACAAGGGAATTGATGTCAATTCTCAGGATTTTTTTGGTGTTACTGCACTTCATAAAGCTGCAAAACGGAACAAAGATGCAGAATCTCACATGACTTACACACAGAAGGTGGTTACAGAACAGAACAAGTTAAAGGTAGTAACAGAGCTTATAAATGAGGGGGCTACGGTTGATCTTCAGGAGAGTACTGGTGATACTCCACTTCATGTGGCTGCCAAAAATAATTACTTAACAATAGTAGCAAAGCTTATAGAAAAGGGAGCTAAGGTTAATTCCCCGGATAGAAATGGAGAAACTCCACTGCATCAATCTGCATCAGAAGGTCATGTAGATGTAGTAGCAAAGCTTATAGATAGTGGAGCTATGATTGATCTTGAGGATAAGTCTGGTGACACTCCACTTCATAGCGCTGCCAGAAATGGTCGTTCATGGACA